GTAGTAGGTGATCTACAGTGAACCAGCAAGAATCAAGTTTGTTCACAACAAAACAAAGAAGGATCACAAACTCCACAGGTAAGGATGAATCAGATCGAGGCATACCCCGTACCTCTTGTAGAAATCTATTATGACCGGGTCCACCGGTCCTAATGTAAAGGGATAAGTATAAACACTTTGATGTCCTCGACATGAGTGGTAATGGCCTCCTCGGGGTTAGGGACCACTATGTTTTTATCGGCCCAGTTGAAGTCTTTCCGAACCATAGGGAGGACCTCTTCGGTAATCGGACAGATGTATTTGGAGACCTCTTCGCACCGATCTTGTATGGAAGAAGGTTTTCCAACTTTGAAATCATTATTTACCGAGCATCCCCCGGGGATGAAGATTTTCAAAGGAGGTTCAGCTACAGGTTCATCAACTGCTATGCCTGGAGCGGTTGCCTTGACCTTAGTGGTCAGCCGCAAAGTAGAAGGAGTTTTTTCTAGGGAACGATTTCAGAAGTCTTTGACATTCCTGTAGAAAGTAAAAATAGAGGAAAGTCTAGAAAAGGTGAAGAAGGAAAGGAAGTTCAAGAATTAGACTTATTGTCTTAGGAAGAAGATGGGTGAAAACTTTTGCAAAGGTACCTGAGTAACTGAGGTAAATATGACTAGAAGAATGTGGAAATATTGAAGGTACGAAGGTAGAAGGTTTAATGTAAAGTGAAAATAAACAAAGAAGGTAGTATGTATAGGAACTCGGCAACGTTTCACATTCAGGTATAGCCGACCGGTGGCTAACAAGCATTTAATTTCATTATGACGTGACTAACAAGACATTTCGCATTTTTGTCGTTTTTGATACGACGTATCGAAGAAGGAGTCGGGGAGCTCATGTCGTTTATCGTCAATTTATTCTCCGAGAAACAAGGGGACTATTTGTATACGGGTAAAATCAAGCTCAAGGTGTACCCTGACCTCTAACAAGATAAGTCAGGCTCGAGACATGATGACGAAGGGCCGACATCGAAGGGAAAGTCTTGCCAAGTCGGAATCCGGGGGAATGATGCCTGCCCCAAGAATATCGGGTTCAGAATTCCAGATTGGTCTTGACCTCGAACGACCTCGAGGAACATTATCGGACAGTCAAGCATAGCCAACAGAAGGCCGAAATATCCATGAGCAGCCGGATATCACGGTGGGATCTCAGCACGTACCGATAAGGAGCCGACATCAGTTAATCAGAAGATTTTTTTTACCTTTTATAGACTTGTACCTAAAGTAGGATTCCCCTACTATATAAAGGGGGTCTGATGTTTCTTAACACACATTGTAACATGCGTTCCAAGGCAATATATTATCATTTTCTCTGTTATTTAGCTTTTTTCACTTGTTCATCAGTGTTGACTATAGCGAGCCTGGATCGAGGGCAAACAATTTCACTAAGGCTGAAACTGTCTTATTCGCGTGGTTTGAATTCATTTTATCGTTACTTGTTTAATCTAATCCAACTTATAGCTTTGTGTCAAATTAATCCGCATAACCTTAAAACCACTTGCAAATTCAATTGTTATCCGATTTTGAGGTTAAACATCGTCATATTTTATTTTGCTAGTTAGGAGTTGTCCTGATTATCTTACCATAATTGGGTTTTTCTTTTTGTAGAAGGAAATTATAATTCTTCCATATTTGGCTAGTCCTTTTTCTTGTAAGAAGAGGTTTAGACTTCTATAAATTAGGGGGAGAACTTTACGGGACAAGTGTTAGTGTGTCACTTGTGTTTGCCTCTTTGTGAGGTTGTTCTCTTGATATTTTGTACTCTCTTTTATTATAGTGGATTTCTCGTCTCCGTCGTGGACATAGGTCAACTGGCCGAACCACGTTAAATGTTTGTGTCTCTTTGGTAGATTTCTCTTTTGTTGTCTGGTTTATCGTTCGTTCAAGGTTTGCTTTACTAGTTTCTGCAAGACACTTGATTTTTTCGGTCCTAACAAGTGGTATCAGAGCGAGGTTCAAGACAGGTTCATCTTGGCGTCTTTAGTTCTAGCCGCAACCTATTTGATGGTAATCATTATTTTCGTCTAAGAAATTTGACCAATGTGCTACGCACATTGAGACAAATTTAGCGGTGGAGATTTAGAGATGCGACCTGTTGAAGGCTATGTGAAGAAGGTGAATCAAATTTATTTTGTCAGAAAATTTATGCCAAGGGGGAGAATTGCTAGGTGTTCTCTTGATTTTCTTACCATAATTGGGTTTTACTTTTTGTAGAAGGAAATTATAATTCTTCCATATTTGGCTAGTCCTTTTTCTTGTAGGAAAAAGTTTGGACTTCTATAAATTGAGGATCCTTCCTTCTCATTCAGTAGCATCCACAATGTAGCCATATGGGGCTTGAGAGTCGTGTTTAGGGGGAGAACTTTACGGCACAAGTGTTAGTGTGTCACTTGTGTTTGCCTCTTCGTGAGGTTGTTCTCTCGATATTTTGTACTCTCTTTTATTATAGTGAATTGCTCATCTCTGCCGTGGATGTAAGTCAATTGGCCGAACCACGTTAAATGTTGAATGATTGTATATAGATGTTCGTCACACGCAGAGGAAGACAATAACAATCCTAGGCAGATCTTTTCGTGTTTAAAATTTATTTACATGTCAAAGATCGAATCTAAGACGTACCTGGTGAAGAGAGCCTCGTTTCAAAATTTTCTTCTATGGTGCGAAGACTCTATACGTATCCACACCGAAACCGATCTTTGCTATCAACTCTTTGATCAATGAAATTCGTGAACAAATTGAACGAAAATTACTATGCTGAAATTCTTCTCAAAGTTTCAACCCGAAAGTAAAAGAAGAAAACTAATTTTCTTGTAAAGAATAGTTCTTGACCTTTTGCGGCACACTTGCACTCTTTTTCCACACATCTCCTGTTTAGGACTAATAGGTATTTATTATAGTACCAACTAATAATTCATTCCCAGAAAGTTTAGGAAAATTTGAGGCGGTGACCTACTGTAGCACAAGACCAAATTTGGACTTCTCCACAATTTTCCTTTGGAAAACAAATCTCATTCCTAATGAGAATTAACGAGGCATGGAGCAACGACAAACTTTTCCTTTTATCTTGTTGTGCCACATAATATTACCAATTATATATATATATATATATATATATATATATATATATATCATACATATATATATAATTTGATAATTAGTTTATCCAATAGTTAGTCAAGAAATATAATTCAATTTACTATTCCAAATAGAAAATCAATTTATTCACAATATTAATTATATCTTCTGTGCTAGCAAAGAATATAATAATATTTCATTTGGACTAATAATTTAATATATTTGACTAATTAAATTCTTTAATTTAATTATCAAATAATAAAATAATTAATCCTTTAGCAAAGATCAGAACACTCGTTAGTGTGCGACCTCATAGGCTCAATACTAAGCCGGTAGTAAATTGATCACATCAATATACTAATCAAGGGTGGCGTCTAGCAACACTCCTTAACGACTGGATAGAATGTAGTATACAATTTACTCTCAAGAACCAATAGAAGAATAATGTATTAGTTTCTTCCGTCCTTATAGCTCAGAGTCACCCTAGGATATGATTCAACTGTCAAATCCTAATAGGCGACCAACTATGTGTTCATGTCAAATATAATCGACCATTGAATGACCCAAGAAACTCATTTCTTCTTTCATTCAATTGTCTTGGCCAAGGTCTTAGTTTGGTCGTTTATAATTCATGACAACATGGAGCTTGAACTCATTACCAAGAGTTGACAGATTTCATCTTGGTCAATCACTAATTCTACAAGCATTTAATCGTACTCAATATCCTTTCAACTATCGTCCTAGGGCCATAGGTGTCTGGTATCAAAGCAAAATAAACAACTTGTCAATTACTATGACGATCTCAGGTCAAAGGAAACTTTTACATCACATTCTTCAAGAGAATATCCTATTGACAGTTTATGGTAATTCTAACCATTAGGAATTATCCAATGAGTCGATTCAATGATCATATCTCTATATGCATCATCTATCTATGTGATTCAGTCAATGAGATCAACTAATCTTTATCTCATAAGACAATCACATAAATATTGATCTAATCGGATTACTAATGTCCAAATTAATAATCCTACGATCAAGAACAAATTTAGATTAAATTGTAAGAGACTTTGCTCCCATTATCATGATCTCTATCACGATGACAAATATCAAAATTTAATCAAGGACCTTATCAAATTTATCAAACAATTAATAATAATTATAAAAGAATATCAAATGCCATATTTTTTAAATCAAATGATGTTCACAAAAATATGTTCAAATCATCAAATATGATATTGGATCTAGGGCATATCTACTATATCCCTAACAAATGTTCGTGTCTCTTTTGGTAGATTTCTCTTTTGTTGTCTGGTTTATCGTCGTTCAAGGTTTGCTTTACTAGCTTCCGCAAGACACCTGATTTTTTCGGTCCTAACATAGACGACACTTGTTGAAGTTTGGCAAAATGCCAAAGTCCCACATTGGTTGGGAGTTAAGTTTGGGGGGGATTTTTCCCCTATAAAAGAAGGCCTAATGTTTAGGATTGAAACACACCTCTCATTTGCCTTCTCATCTGTTTAAGGCATTTGTATCTTCTCTCTTTAGTATTATTTCACTTGTATTTTTGGAGTGGAATAAAATATTGGTTGTGTCCGAGGAGTAGGCAAAATTAGCCGAACCTCGTAAATTCTGGTGTTCCCTTTATTATTGCTTTATTGTCTTATTTATTTATTATTTGGTGGCTGTCATAATTTTTGGTATAGTAGTTGTGACTTATTCACACTCTATACATTTGGCTTCCGCAACAACACTGTGATCGATCGCGCCCCATGGATGAACTACATTAGAAGAAAGATCACAACTTATAAATTGAAAATGTTCATTAAGATACAAATAGAATAATAGATTCTCATTTGTACATGCATAGAGAAGATTATCGAACAAATGAGGGAGAGAGGGAGTGAAACTGAGAGAGTCGAGTTCCAGAAGAGAGTGAAAATGACATTCGCGTACTGTTTCGGAGAAGAAAGAATCATGAAGGATAAGGTAAAAGGATCTTTTGATGTTTACGAGAAACAGGTTATTGTTGCTTTTTTTATCGGATGTCCCCGAAGGGACAAGTTATTGTTGCTCATCATTTAAAACTCTAGCTATAAATTAAATACCAAACCAAGAACTGGACGGCCCTTGTTATTTCTACCAATATCTCGATACTTCCAACAAGTAAAATCCGCAAAAGGAGCGGGAAATTACGTAAGATGGATCTTTCTCTACAATTTATGTTTTTACCCCGCTAAGAAATGTGTAAGTTACGGCAATTGCTTCAAATTTTGGCAGTGTGCTTTAAATTTTTGATAGTGTGCTTCAAATTCTAGCACTATGCTTTGAAATTCTGGCAGTATATACTTTAAAATTCTAACTGTGCTTCAAAATTCTGGCAGCGTGCTTTAAAAATCTGACAGCACGCTTCAAAATCCTAGCTGCGTGCTTTAAAATTTTGGAAGCGAGGCTATTTCTCCAAAATTTTCTTAGCAAGTTCAAAAAATCACAGTGCCACAAAAGTATCATATTTGTGTCATTCTCCCCAAAATGAGGAAGGGATTTTACCCAAATAGCCAGCTGATTTACTGTTTAATTTTTCTAACTAGTATACAAAGATTATGCACTGATCATATACGGTTATACATCTACCGGTTATTTTTAGTTTAAGCGGTTGAGTAGACAATTATTTAAGTTAATTCTTCAAGGAAAATGATAGGACATGGCCTATGTGAGCATACTAGAAATAGATCCCCCTTGTCTAAGGGTTTCAAGTTTAGCAGGACTAAGACAGAATACCTGGAGTATAAGTTCAGTGCCGAGTCGAGGGAAGTGGTCATGGACGTGACGCTCGAATCACAGGTCATCCCCAAGAGAAGCAGTTTCAAGCATCTTGGGTCGGTTATCCAGGGGATGGGGAAATCGATGAGGATGTTGCACACCGTATAGGGGTGAGTTGGAAGAAGTGGAAGTTAGCATCTAGAGTCCTATGTGACAAAAAGGTGCCACTGAGGCTCAAAGGTAAGTTCTATAGAGCGGTGGTTAGACCAGCCATGTTGTATGGGGCAGAGTATTGGCCGGTCAAGAACTTTCATATCCAGAAGATGAAATTAGCAGAAATAAGGATGTTGAGTTGGACGTACGGGCACACTAGGATGGATATGATTAGGGATGAAGATATTCGAGAGAAGGTGGGCGCGGCCCCGATGGATGACAAGATGTGGGAAGCTAGGCTCAGATGGTTCGGGCACGTGCGGAGGAGAATTCCGAATGCCCCAGTAAGGAGATGTGAGCGGTTGGCTTTGACGAGTATGAGAAGAGGTAGAGGGCGGCCCAAGAAGTATTTGGGAGAGGTGTTCAGGCAGGACATGGCGAGGCTTTAGATTTTCGAGGACATGGCCCTTGATAGGAAGGTGTTGAGGTCTAGCATTAGGGTTGTAGGTTATGAGGTAATGGAGCTCTTGTCTACTTCGTACCGGGTGAGAGGCTAGTCTGATAGGGTTGTGTCCTAGAGTGCTAGTGGTTATTATTGTTTCCACACTTTTCTTTCACTTTTCATAGTACCGAGCCTTTCTTACGTGTTACTGTTATTGTTTTTCATTTATTTTCTGGTACTTATAATGCTATTATTATTTCTATGCTTTCTGTTGTTGATAGTGATATATTGTCTTTTTCATCTGCTTGAGCCGAGGATATATCAAAAACAACCTATACCCCCTTGGGGTAGGCGTAAGGTGTGCGTACACTCTACCCTCCCCAAACCTCACTTGTGGGATTTTACTGGGTTGTTCTTGTTATCGTCTGTCACTTTTTATTGACTGAATTTTGGTAGAGGCAGAGCGTGGAAAATGTAGTTGTTATAACAATTGTCTATCATTATTTTGTCCAACAGGTGATCGTTTATCCATGTGTGGAGCTTAGGTTGCAAGTTGCAAAGAGCGTACTTTGCTGCTCGTCATCGTCCGGGAGAAACCTGCTTTTTATGCTCGTTTAAGAACATTCTAAATTGAGTACTGAAAACCGTATTTAATGTACTATCAGCAATGACCATTTTCGGAAGAAATAGATGGAGTAGTAAAGAACTCATTGCATAAACAAGTGTAATTTATGCATGCTATGAGAGACAGTTTTCATGTCATGCGTCAGCTCTCCAACCCTCGATTCTAGAGGTTTTGAGAAACATGGTCATTGCCAAGATAAAATTAGAGAAACCACAAAATGAGAATGCAACACGTCAATAATTGGATGCTTTAGTTACTGTTCTGCTTATTTTCTTTCTTTTCACGTCTGCTGCAGAAATTTAAGTTCTTAATTCTTCCACCAAACAAAAGGAAAGGGATATATAAAGTGCGATAAAGCATAGGATTTGACTATATAATAAAAATGATCACAAAAGTTGACAATTTTGGGGTATATCCCAGCAAATCAAACGTTTGAGTAATGTTTAGTAGAATCTGCAAGATTCTTGAATGGTTTCCAGCGCCAAGGCAATAGAGGGACACATGCAAGAAGCCTACATCTACGAGATAAATGGGTTGACATTGGCCGATCTCCCAAAGTTCGAAGGAAAAGGAAGTGCACAAGAAGCCTATATCTATGAGATAAATGGACTGAGATTTGCCTATCTTCAACAGTTAATTTTGACTGAGACCTTAGAGCTCACCATCCCATAGCTCTTCAAGTGTTCTGTACTGGCCATAAGTTTCGTGAACAAATGAAGTGCCTCTCAGCAGCCTTGCCTGCATGATGTTCAACAGTAATGTCAATAATCCATGAACTGCATTCTTAGCGAAAATATCTGGTAAAAGGCTTTATATAGCCACTTATCTCAACCATCAAGGAAGTAAAGTATGAGCCTAGAGAGGCAATATGTACCGGTCCAAAAGTCTTCTGTTTGCTTTTGGTACCGAGGGAAGGGGATGGTTGTCTAAGTAGCACATGGAAGTATATGGTAAAAATAGCACGGTATAGCCAATTTTCGGATTGGTCATTAAAAAATAGTCAGCGTTTACAAAGTCAATGAAAAATAGTCACTATTTTGCTGCAATAGAGACCGGTCCAGCATAATATACTGGAGTTCGGTGCACCTGTGTATGAACTCCAGCATATTATGCTGAACCGATATACTTTGCTAGCTCCAGTATAATATACTGGAGCACTGGTGCCCCAAACTCTAGTATATTATGCTGGACTGGTATACTTGTTGGAACTCCAGTATATTATGATGTAGTTCTAGTGTACTTATGCTGGAACTCCATCATATTATGCTGGAGTTCCAACATACTTTCATGAGACTCCAGTATAATATGTTGGAGTTCAAGTATACTTATGCTGGAACTCCAGCATGATATAGTGGCGTATTTTTCGGGTTTTGAACAGTGTTTTTGCTCAAATTTATCTTTACATGAAAAGTAGCTAAATTTCGATTACTTTTAAAATTGGGCTATTTTTGAACGACCCGTTGTAAATCTGGCTATTTTTTAATTTCTCCCAAGTATATGGCCATGCATATTAGCCGTTCATTTGGCACTATGAGTCTGTCACTATTTAGAGGTATCAAAGTGTCTATTCGTAAATTATATGAATGTCACTGCTAAAGGTATCAAAGCACTCATGCCTACAAGTCCAACAGCCATTTCGAATGCACAATGCAAGTCTTGTTTGTGTTTCTTTCTCTATTGTTCTTTCTTCATTTTTTTCCTTGGAACATGGATATTGCTATCTACTGAGAAGAGATATGGCCAATTTCTAGGTCCATCTGCACGTTTAAATTTGAAATTAATATGATAAGAGTTAACAAACTTACAATTCAATCTCAGCAATATCAAAAGAAATTGCCATTACCATGAAAGGATTTACCTGTGGAATTTCTGAGAATTTGGCAAACAAATCATCAGGTATAGACCAGTTCAGTACATCAAGATTCTCTTTGATCCGTGCTTCATGTGTGCTCTTAGGAAGTACACTCTGACCCATTTGAATGCCCCATCGAAGACAAACCTGAGCAGGAGTCTTGCCCAATTTCTCAGCAACTGAGATTACAGCTGGCTGCTTTAGTACATCACTTTTAAGCCAGGTTGTACCAGGAGAACCAAGTGGTGAATAGGCCTGAAATAAAAAGGTGTTAGAAAGGAGTAAAACCATAAACAACTCATTGACAATCCACTCATAAAATCACAGACGATTAGTCAATAGATACCCACAAAAACAATAACGGGACAAATAAATACATCCCCTCCAAAAATTTTCTCATAGTAATCAAATGAAAATAGAAATGGGGAAAAAATCAAATAAATTGACCACAATGTACACAAGAACTAGAAGTGCTTTAGAAATGAACTCACAGAGAGGTGCACTCCCTTGGATTTACAGAAATCCCGCAATTTGGCTTGTTGCCATGAAGGATGGCACTCCACCTGGTTGACAGCAGGAGGAACACGAGCTACTTGCAAAAGATCTCCCAGTTTCTTAGTAGAGAAATTGCTAACACCAATAGCTCTAGCCTTCCCCGAATCATAAAGTTTTTCCATTGCTTGCCATGTGCTAGGTATGTTTGTTGGCATAAGGTTTTCAGGTTTAAAGTCAGCCGAACCAGGCTTCAAAGTGACAGGCCAGTGCATCTACAGAAACCACATAACCAAAAAGACAAAAAAGGAGGAAAAAACGAAAATGTCTCAGTTTATTTTTTACCATAACAACACCATTTAATACAAAAAAATGAAGAAACAGGTAAATAACTTAAATTAGGCAATTTAATGAACCCTCTTTTGATGTTAAAATTTTTTCCAATACACGTAGAAGTCCAATGGCACTATTTAAAGATCTCAGGAGCATCGCGGCAGCTCTTAAATTTTGTCCCGGGGCATCTACCTAAGGGAAGAGTGGGCGCATATTGCAGCAAACGCTTCTAAGAAGTATATATATTAATTTAGAGATTTGGCTTTGAACTAGTTGGCAACTTTAGAAACACTAGCAGAACGAAAGCTTCCTGTTTGGCAGTACTTACGAGGTACAGATCAACGTAGTCCAGCTGCAAGTCTTCTAGAGTTCTGTTTAGTGCCAATGGTACGTCTTCCGGTGCATGATCAGTGTTCCTACAAAAGTTAATACCACCTGAATGTATGAGTATCCTAAAACACTATCGAGATCACAATGATGAAAAAACCAGAGGCCCCACCAGAACCGCTATTGCTAAAAGCCAGGTTTAGAAGTAGTTATTGAATTACCAAGCTATAAGAAAACATATATAATAAAAGAGAGAAATCAACGATGCTAAACAAAAGAGTGATGGTTAACGATTGATGAGAATAACTACACCAAAGTTGAACAAGTCAAATTCATAATGGAAAGAAACTGACTCAGCAAATTCAAATTGTAGGGCCGAGGAACAAGGAGGTAAGTTGTTATAGGAATGTACGGATTAATTACCAGAGTTTGGACGTAACGAAGAGCTCTTCCCTCTTGACAACGCCATCTTTAAACAGCTTCTTCAAAACTTCACCAATCTTTGAAGGAAAAAAATTAGACAAGGAAATATATTTAGTGACAGGTTAATCAAGAAACCAGACCATGTTTTCTAACAAAATGAAACTAGGTTTGAACAAATAGAATAAATCTGACCAGAAAATGTAAACAACAGATTGATCTGAAAAAGAATGATAATAATTGATCACCTTTCCCTAGGTAAAAGATGAATCCAAAAACAGCAACGATTGACACTAGATTTTCCCGTAAGACCTAAATATTGCATGTGCCAGAAAAAACTAGCAAATAGGTGGAATGTCTATCAGCTAATGACACCAATAGGGCACCTAGAGTGCCACCTTAATGACTATTTGCATATGTACTGATTTTCAGATCTTAACATAACAACAACCATAACCTTCCACACTGCAACCATATTCAGGAACAGTAAACAAGATATGTAAAAGCCTCATTAGCACTTAAAATTGAGCCTTGTAAGTTATAACTCTATAAGCCCCTCCATCACGCCGTCTCAATGCAAGACATCCACTGGTTGCAAAACCTCCAAGTTATTGATTTTTACTTTCTTTCATTTGAAAATTAATAAATAAATAAATGTCACTCTCTAATGGTTTAAAAACCTTTCAAACTAGATAGTCATACTGTTAAACATCATCCGCAACCCGCCAACAGATTATTTCCACAAGTTTGTCCCTAAAATGAATCTGGCCCATATAAAGGGGTTTGTTGTAGATATAAAATAAGGGGTGCATTGCAGATATAAGATAAATAAATAGAACTGTCACTTCTATAACAATTTAAGCGTTTAGAAATAAGGGGCATGTTGCAGATATAAAATAAATAAATAAATAAATAAATAAAAGTGTCACTTCTATAACAATTTAAGTATTTAGATGCGTGAATCGCTCACTTCAATACTATGAAAGCTTAGTAAGATTTAAGTCAGATTACCTCCTTTTCATTTTTATAAATTCGAGCACAATCAATATGCCGGTAGCCCACCTGTAGCAAAAAGAAGAAGAGAATAATTAGGTCTAAATTGTGTCAGAATACCAAAATCACTAAGTTGCAAATGACACTTTAAAGTTGTTGAATGCTTAGGACTACCCCAAAGTTGCTTTAGAAGCAGCATGACTTCTTACATCTATTTTGCCAATTATGAGTAAGAACTACAATATGGAAATTAGTTCTCCAGAAGAACAATGCGCCCCCTATATATTTCCATAAACTCAAATAGAAGTTTTAAGACCCATGCACAATTTCAGCATATGTAGGAAGGAATATTTCTTTCACTTTTTTACCACATTTGAACAGGATACTACTGTTATATTTTACAATTAGTCTAGAAAAGAAAATATTAAAGGCAAAAAGCATTCAGAAAATGAATCTCTACTTCTGAATCTAACCACCAAAAGAATCAACTTCTACTAATTGTCTTCAAATTCTTCGTATAAACAAAAACCATGTCCAGAAAGAACACAACTGATTATCAAAGACAATCTTTCTGCC